TGTCTATTTATGCATATGCATGTCCTGGTTGCTTGGCAATGGCCAAGAAAGCCAACCCAGAGGCAGAGCCAACCCAACTCCTCTTGCTCGGAAGTTAGGTTTTGACATAATGAGACGAGGCAACAGCTGGCATTTTAATTGGCATAAATTGTAGCTACATCTAAGGTCAACAAAGATTAAAAGTCAAGTGAGAGTTGAGTCGAACGGAATATAGAGAAAGATGAGAAATTAACGAAGGATGGCTAGATTGCAAGCTACAAAAATTAAACAAGAGTTTATATTTAATGTTAAACTAAATATACTAAAAATACCCTTAAATACCCTTAAATACCTTAAATTGATTAGTTCTAAGACAAATTAATGAAATTCTTTTAAATCAGATAATGTAAGATGAAGTATCATTAAATGGAATACTTAGTATAATAAATCAAGAAGAGTTGCAGATTCCAGATTTGTTTCATATTTCCTGACACACTCGTACTAATTTATAATATTTAGAAATATGTATCTTTAAATTATTTGGGTATTTTTATTTAGCACATAACGTTGTGATCAGAAACTGTTCACAATAGCAAAAATAATCTGAACTCTGAAGAAACGAAACGATTTAGCAGAGCAACTAGACATGAAAAGTTCATTAGACCCAGCCAAAGGTTGTTCTTTACATGCCAGAATATCTCTTCATAATTCAGTGTTAAATTGGTCATGTGTTTCATGGCGTCGCACAGGTGGGCTGCGGGGTATGGCTACCGACTCGACATTAAATTAGGATGCAACCCCAAAGCAGCCACAAAACAAATGTCACACATACCCATTAACCGAAGCAAGCCGACAAACCAACCCAACAACAAGCCAGACAGGCATCCCTCATAACCTCTCTTCGTCGTCTACACACAAAGTGCATAAATTTTAAAACAATTAGTTTCAATTTTGCAATCCGCAACAACATACCACGGAAACAACACCTACGGACCGAGAAATCCTTCTGCAGAAGCGGGACGCATATGCCAGCAGAAAATCTCGTATTGTGGGGAAGAGAAGCCAAAGGAGGGCAAGGATGTGAAGGTGAGGGAGTGGGCGCCATGTTAATGTGCCATATGACTTTTTGCTATTAAGTCATGTTACGTCGAGCATCGGAAGCGGGCCAGGCAGCAGTGTAAAAATCTCACTTAATATGCCCTTTGATATGCTCTGGCTCTCGACAACAACGGCATGTCCGGGGCGTTACCTTCCCCTTTCCCCATGCTAGGAGGGTTGTTTGCACTGAGGGTTGTTTGGGCGGCGATGACGTGCGCCTGCTTAATGAATTTTGTGCGCGCTGATTGTTTAGGTGTAAGGTTTTATAATGAGATCCCCCAAAACACACATCCACTCTCGCTCTCACACACACTTAGCACACCTATGTAGTATGTCCTGCCTCCAAGCACACGGAGGTATCTCACAGTTGCGAAATGTATCTACGAGTATGTATGACAAAACTTTGCTATCAACGCGACGACATCGCCGCACGTCGCAGCGTGAGTTTCCATTAACGCATTTGCATAAATATTTACATGTGTGTGCACACATACTCGTATATGCATATGTGTTTATTTGTTTGTATTTGTTGTCCTTTCCCTCTACTGGTTCACTGCGACTTTAACTCTCTCTGCATAACTTTAAAATTTCCTGTAGCTACTTATTTATGTATGTATTTTTGGCAAGTAACAATTTGTCCAAGCCATTCGGTAGATTGGAGGCAACGGTAACCCTTCTGTTCGGACCCGTCTAGATGGCGAATGAATTCAACATTAAAAGTTTAATTTATGATTATGCCTGAGACATGTCAAAGCTTGGGACTCAGCAACCCCAGTTGGCACTAACACATTGCAAAATATGATTTCCTTCATGCTAAGACATTTTAAAATGTTTCGGAAGGAAGTGGCAATAACATTTAAGTATGTGTCGCGTCTGTTATTCGAGGACCTGCCATTTCGAATGAAGTCATAAATTGAACTCACGCCATTTAGAATGCAATACTTCGTTTTACCGTGCTACAGGGAGTAGAGGTAGTAAAATGTCTTGCAAGTTCTTTGCATTCCAATCTCTTAGCGTTTTTAAAATTAGACTAAGGTATTCTTTTTTGATTTCCATGCAAATATTTGCCGAAGGGGTCAGCAATCCAGCAATTTTGTTTGCACTCGTATAAGTTCTTCACAGCTGAACGTTGATGAATGTAAAAGTAGTTCTAGAAACTGCCGATAGCAAATGGAAAACAGCTATCGTTGTCCCGTATTTTTGTTGTTCCACATTAAAGAGTAAAGTGTATACAAATGGACAGCAAAAAGCAGCAGCTCCTTATGAAATAAGGTTTGGGGAGATGAACAGTATACTAGTGTTTAAAGAAAACGCATTAACGTTCTAGTCGGCTCGTATACAAGTAAACTTTAAAGAAATGAGATATTGTAAATAATTATGTAATTTAATTTATGTAACAAGAGTTACATCCGAAAATTCTCACATTTCGAGAGCACATATGCTCTGTTGTAAAGACACTAAGTGTTAGAATAAACAATATGAGATGGCTCCTAATCAGCAAAAAACGTTCACTGAAAAACAAAGTGACTGTGTATAAGTCTTGCATCGCTCCCTTTTGGTGATATGGCTCACAAGTTTATGGAATCGCTGCCAACTCACATCTGCAGAAAATCCGGTCCTGCAAGCGAAAACCCTTCGCTGCGCAATACATGGAGCGTCTGCGAATTCATGTTAACGTATTAGCAAGGCGCCTGCTGAAACCGCTACGAAAAGGAAGAAGAGTAGTAAGAAGGAGGCTGAAGAGATCACACCCTGCTGATCTACCCGATAGATTTATTTAATATAAGAATAAATAATTAATAATTAAATGAAATAAATAATTAAATAAGACAAAACTCCTAGTTTAAGCTGTATTTGTATATTTCTATAAGTTTAATTTAAGTTGTTGTAAATAATAACAGTATAATTAAAGTTTTACAGTAGCAGTGGCAGTGCAACTACATTTAGGATGATCGCAAGGATGCCAAGAATCCAAGCATTATAAATATGTAAATAATTTCCAGATGAATAGGTAGTATGCCTTTAATTGTGGCATATTCTAATGGACCTCATGTCAGTTGGCCCAATTAGTGGGTTTGTAGGACATCGAAGCAGACAATAGAAGTTTTAATTAGAAAATATCCTGCGGACTCCTGCTCTCTGCAGCTCAATCTCCTAACATGACTCCACCTCTTTAGCCAATTCCAAGGCAATGGGGCTTAACAAAGTTCAAAAAGTTTACCTGCTACGAAAACGAAAAGAAAAACAAAAATCAAAATTTGCGCAAATTAGCATAAAGCTTTGCACAATGGCAAAATGGGCGAAGACAAGTCGAGGAATTGTGGCAGACAACCCGGTAAAGACAAACACAACATTTAGTTTGCAAATCAGGCGGCACGTTTGCTTACACACTCGCATGTGTGTGTGTGTGTGGATTCGGATTTGGAATGTAAATTTTATGCCAAAGCAACAATTTGGCAGTCTGAAAGCAATGAAGGCTGCCAAGTTCGCACAAGACTGTTCCACTTAAAATCGAACAGAGTACAAAACAAAAAGTAAAAGCAATTACAAGAGAGCGGTAGGGGCATTCGAGTGGTTGGGGAGAGAGCGGAGAACTGCTCAGAAAATCAAATGAAATAACAAAATTAAACTGATTTAATGGCAGCTCTCCCGGTCTGCATGTCTGTTTGTTTCCCGTTCTCTCTTCCACTCTCCGTGTGTGTGTGTGTTTTACGCTTGTCATGTATTTGTGGGTACAAGAGGCATGGTAATGCCTGAAAGAAGTGGGAGAGCGGTTGTGTGTGTGGCAAGCGGTGTGGTGCAATGGTGGTTGATTGACAGCCAGACCGCCGCTCGATGATTTGATATGAAAATTGCCTGGAATTATTGAATTAACATATGCTTGAATTGAACCCAAGCATTTCTCATCATCTGCGTTTGACTGAGTGGGCGGGCATGTGCGTGTGTGTGTATGTGTATGTGTGTGTACTTGGCATTGTGACGCGCCAATTTAGCTTCTTGGTGATGTGGTTGTGTAGTTGTCCTCAGTGGCAGAGTGTGCATGTGTGTGAGAAGGCTTCTTATTACCAAAGCGTATTAGCCATGATTGATTGCATTGAGTAATAATGATTTGTAGCCCAGTTCTGCATGTGAGACCTGGAGAACGCGTCAGTTGGGGGGGGGCGAATGTGCGAAAGTGAATTCTATGACTAGCTACTTTTGGGCTATTGTGTGCTAAGGATAGGGGAAGGGCACACAATGAGATGCCTAGCGGGCATCTCTAAGTCTAATTGAATGCTTTACGATAAGTTTTCCTGCCTTGCAGTGTACATATAATTGCGTTCCTATTTGAAAAATGCATATTTAAGCACCGAAAATGCGACTTTAGTGCATTGTTCGACAGTCAAGCAAGCCTAAACTCGTAAAAGAACACACGTAAATCTTAATATGAACGCAAGGATCCCTGAAACAGCTGACTAATTTTCAATCAATAATTATGAATTTTTAAAATATGTCCATCTGTCACTGTAAGAACATTTATTTCTCTCTGTTTCGCAAACACATATACCTAAATATGCGCTATGCGTGGATCCTACACATATGTACAAAGGTTGCTTTCATTTTCATTGATAACCTATCTTTTTTTATTATTTCTTCTTCTGAGAATGAGGCTGCTCTTTAATTTTCCGTCAAACTTGCATTTCTGTTGCTTTAGAAAAACGCTATGACTGCGGTATTTGTTTTATCCTTTGAAGCAAAAACCACACTTGGAACAATTCGAAGAATGTCGCCTTGGGAAGCCATCAACCGCTCAGCTGTACATCGGCATTGGTTTTCGTAGAGTGTGGCTGCTTTCAGCTGACCGACATTTCTCCGCAAAGCACAGGAAACTTTCTCACTACAAAATGGAGCTGGAACTTTCACCTTCTAGCACTTACACTTACCTCGAATCGATGCGCTGCAAATAGTCCAAGCGGCTCAAATGCAATTCGCGCAAATGAAACAAATTCAGAAATGCCACTGCGGGCAGTTGCGCAAAGCGATTGCCGCTCAAGTTCAAATAAGTGAGATTTGAAAGTTTCGAGAGCTGCTGTGTGGGCACCATCTGCAACGATAGAATGTGAAGCACAATGTGTTAAAAATATACTATATATACGAGTTTGTAAGCGCACAAACACACACACTTAATAGGAGTATACACAAAGCTTAAGCCGAGCAAATAAAAGTTTTGCAATACGTTTAGCACTGGGACCGGACCAGTTGCATTCATGCAATTTTAATGCGCTCCAAAGCCAGCCACTCAACTTTAAGAGCGCGTTTTGCGTTTAGCGCTAGCCACACTTGATAGTTGCAAGTGCCGAGCATTTAATGCTAGCTTTTTATACCAGTCCGCTATATTCGTTTCTAAAAGGGGCGCTCATAAAACGCTGATGGCGTGGGATGGCTGGGGCGGCAGGATGGTGGGTGGTCGAACGGGCGCAAATGAATGTGGCTCGACCTTTTACGTTCGCGCTCTCGTTGTTAAAAAATTCAACAACAAATACAACGAAAAGCGTAGCATAGCGACTGCAGTAGCGGAAACGGAAACGTACGTCATGTACTTCCGTGCGCCATTTGTGATGCCGCCGCCATCGACCACGTTGAGGAGGCGGGAGGCAGCGACTGGAGGAACAGTGGCTGAAGCGACTTCTGTTTAACTGTGTGTATTTTTGGCAATAAAATCAATCTTGCAACAAATTTGTGAGCGTCAACAACAGCAATATTAACCAGTTTCGGCCCCGCTGCTAGAACGTGGCATAAATAAAGGAAACTCGGGGCGGGAAACAAACGTTACACACAATTTTCGTGTGTACGAGTATGTTGCTGAGCCTTGGGCGGGCTATGAAAAATTGAGCTCGGCTGGCGGCATGAAATTTGCTATAACGTCGACGTCGTCGTCACCATCGTGTCGTGTCGGAAACAGCATACCAGCCCCCACCAATTCTTGAAAAAGGCCGGGGAGTTGGAGCCGCGATAACGTAATGAGCTCCAGCGCATTGATTTTTACCTCTGTTTTTTTTTCCTTGTACATAAGGGGACAGTTTGATTGTTTGGCGGTCTCATAATTTCCAAATGTGTTGCAAAGAAGTAGAAACCCACTCGTACACGTAGAGTGAAAAAACGCATCACGTATACGCAATTTATGCACAGCTCTGCAATCATTGAAATTTCATATTAAAGCCGTGCGCGGACGGCAGAGCGACCCCTCCTTCGTATTTGTGCTGCACTCAAAGACCACGGGGTGACTAATTAAAAGGCATTTGCCCTTAGCAACGGCATAGCAGCGTGAAAAACGCGAAGGAAATAAAGAAAGATGAAATAGCAGAAAAAACGTTGGCAAAGTGAAAAACTGGGCAGTGCACAAAAGGGAAAGCACAATAATATTGACTTTGATTTTTAAATTAATTTCTTTGCGCTTCGCCGTAATTGCCATGCTGTGAATGCATCAGCTAGGCCAAGGGAAAAGTTACGGCCTGCTTTTAATGAAGTATTGGAAAATTACTTAAGTGACTTTTACTTTTTATGGCTTGCACCCGAAAGGTGGAATGCTATACTAGTAGGTCTCAGCGCAGAACAATACAAATTTATGGCATTTAAGAGTTTTTCTACCCTGTTCATGAAATCTAGGTTTGTGCACAGTGAAAAATGAAACAGGCAGGAGGATGCGTGGCAGAACCCACAATAGTATATATATTTCTGATCAGCATCTAGGCGTCAGCCTGTCCGTCTGATAGCCTAGATCTCAAAAACTACTTATAAGATCTTAAGAAACCAAGTTTTTTTTATGCACTCCCACTCCCCCGTTATTAGCGAATTTCTATAAATCCGTTCATATAAAATGTACAATAACAAGTGTATTTTTGAGTGTCATTTTCATCTTTCCTCTTACTTCCCCGCTATTAGTGATTTTCAATAGCATTTTAGATATTTTAATACATTTTGGATTGGTGAATACATCCGGTTAGTGCCTAAGTTTCGTTGTGATAACTAATTTTTAAAGTAAGTTATAGCCATAAATATAAACTCTGCTCAAGCCCTGCCCGCAGGCTGTTGTTGTTGTCGCTGCTTTGGTTCCACTCTGTACTCTGTTGTTTAATAAATTTTTTAAATCTTGTTCATTTTATAAAATTTATATAATTATTCTACAAAGAGTATTTCAAAGTGGGGACACCCGGCTTTAGCTTTTCGACTTGATTTAATTCAGGTTATAACAAAAAAATAAAATTAAATGTTATAGATACATATATTATTATTTAGGCCGACCCCACAGTGTGTATATATCCTTGATCAGGATGAAAAGACGACTCGATATAGTCATGATCGTCCATTTGTATGTGCGCAAAGGTCACAGCAAGTTTAAGAGGTAGAATAACTAAGTTGGTATCCAGGTTCCGCTAAGCCAAGTTTTTTTCTTCAGCTGCGGGCAGAGCATGGGCAGAGATTAGATTTATGGCTATAGCTTCGATTGTTTTGGTGGCACTCATCGGTAGGAAACATTAAGATTTATTATTATTTATTATTTATCTGCAATCAATCTGTGATCGTCTTGTCACAACCCTAATTGCAACTCTAATTGTTTCAGTGGGACAGAGTCTTAGGGTTAAATTTCGATTAGAATTGGTATACGAATCAGTTTTATGTTAATTTGTGGGAACCGGTCTTCAACAAAAAGTCAGAAAACCTTTAATGACTACGCCAGACAAATACACACCAAAATAACACATCAAATATTATCTCACTTATAAAAACAAGTTTATGTTTTTGGTAGTTTGTTAAATTTGCAGCGCTCTTCACACTCTGCAATTAATGGCACACCTGTCTGCCAACCGCAGGCGAAGCTTTGCAAATTTATGCAGTCTCATTTAAATTCAAAGCTGCAAAAACTAAAAATAGAGCAAACAAATTCGATGAGCATAGATATAACAAAAAAGTTGCCATGCTACATGCAATGATTCATAATTTTACGCCAATGTGAATAGAAAAATTGCAGAAAAAAAACAAAACTACAAAAGTTAGCTGGCAGATACAGATGCGCACTAAACAAATGGATTAAATTTCATTTATATAAAATTTGTCTCTTTCAAATTTCCATATTTGTTCAACATTTATTCCTCAAAATCATAATTCACAACCAAATTCATAACAAACTGGTGATGCAAATATTATTGTGCAATTATGAGAAAATGTAAAATTGCGCATAACAAATTTATACACACAAATAGGCTAAACAACCTTGAAAAACATATAAAATAAAAATTTCATCTGCCTATTGTTGATTCGGTAGTTGCAACGGTATGAATGGGGCTTGGTTGAGTTGGGCTAGGACGATTTAAAATACACACACAATATCATAATGTTATTTCAAAAATGGCTAAGGCCATAATTTTTTCCTAAAAAAACCTTCTGTTTTATTCGATTCTGTAAATATTTAGTCAATATGTGCCTAGAAATTTCCCATGGAAAAATAATTGAGTAGGTCTAATTGAAAGACAAAATTACTTACCCTCTCAGATACATTATTTATGTATATTATACAACTAAATCAAACTTGAACTAAGCGATGTACGATAGTACTTTCATTTTAAAACTAAAAATAAATTTTTATTATTTTATAATTTTCCACTTTCTATCTTTGGTACGCTTGGTGGTCTAAGAAAAACTGAAGATATTTATAAAGAGAGAAGGAGTTGGATAAATTGGTTTGGGTTATCATATAAGATGCTGAAGAAAGGAATGCAATTATTATTTTAATGGACTACAAAGCGATTGTGTCATTCTTGATTGATCATTCAAGAGCAAGAAATAAAATATTTATCTATTCGAGCTAAAAAAGTATGATACCCGGTTCTTCAAATGCTTCAAAGGTGATTTTGGATGCATTAATGCAGTCCTTTAATAGAGAGTTCATATTTTGTTTAATTTCAACAACATCTAAACGGATTGTACGTAAATAAAATATGGACTTATGTACAATAAATATTTGAATATACCTATTTACACAGAATATGTATGTTGGGCAGTTACATAACTTGACCAAAAATCATCGTCCAAAACCTATATATATTTTATACCAAATTTACTGTTAGAACTATATATTTTAAATGAGTAAGTTATTTTCAGGGCACAGTTTATTGGTTTTTATAGAGAAAAGTAGCCTGATGTAGAAGTAATATTTGTATGTAGATCTTATACTTAGCTGAAAACAGCCAACGGGTTTTGAAATGAAGCAGCAAGCGCCACTGCCATCGACATCGCCTCTACAGCTGACGGATGCAGCTAGTCAAGCTGTCTGGCGAGGCGGCTGGGGGTCTGGCGTTTGCCCACGTACTGCAGTCCAAACACATATCCACATGCACATATATCTGTATGTATATATACTTATGTATATGGTCGTTAAAAAAGGATAAGGGACTAACGCTCTAAGCAGTTACGGCATTTGTGTAGAGGTTAAACAGGTGCTATGTCGTCTACTGCTGCTGCTGCTGCTGTTTCTGATGCGTAGCCGTAGTCGTAGTCCCAGGCAACAGCAACTGGCAGTCGACGCAGCTACGGAGGAATTTATGGGGCTTGGAATCAGTTCGAAACTACTTAAAATACCTTTTGGCATTTTGCAGTTGAAATATGTTCCTCTCGTCCATGTAAACATACATATGTATACGTACGAGTATACATAAGAATTTGCGTGTGTATATGTGGCGCAGGAAAGTATGCAACGTGCTACAGTTTCCCAAATGGGCCTTAAAAACTCCCTTCTCCCCCCATCGGCCGTCGTCGTCTGTGGCTGCGGCTAACCTTTACAACCGGTGCTGGTATTTCCCAAATAGCATTCTTATTATATTCTAAAGGTCCTTGGTCCTTGTAGTTATGCACATAAAGTTGCAGGTTTGTTGTGAATATGCATCGTGCAATACGAAATTTTTGGCTACATAGTTTATGTTGCTAGCGCCTGAGAATCTGATGTCTGCGAATAAGGCCCTAAAATAAAATCATGACCAGTCTGCTTATGGAGCATTTATTTTTGGCCTAATGATGTGGAAATTCTCTAAAGTCCCTCTAAAAATTATTAAAAATTATGCTGGTGAGCTCAAGCTCTTTTAAAATAAGATATTTATTTTAAAATAAGATATTTACAATATAGCATAATATATAAATATAGTAAATCAAGTCTAGTGCCAAGCGCAGTGTTTAGTGTCGTCCAACACAGCTATATGAAAATGGATCGAACTGCTGGAAACTGGTACTTATACATTTCATGTTCATAATTTCTTGTTTCCTATTTAGATAAATATAAATATATGTTATTTATCAGCCAACATTTAAATCCGCAGAGCACTGAAGTTTTCCTTTTGAAACGTATTAAGTCACAGCCTCAGATATTTTTTGTTAGATGTATTTTGTTAACAATTCATATAAAGTGCAACCTCAAATTGTAATTTTACAGCCATACCTCAAACGAAGCAAGGAAAGTTAGGGTTCCCTTTGGTGTAATTGAATTGCGAATGTGATTGAAATGCTTGTAAAACAGTACATATATATATATTTTTTTTTTGTTGCATTATACCTTTTTACACCTGAATAATTTTTATTTAGTGATCTCCAATTTTTTGAGCTATTTAGCAAAAAACGAAGTTGTGAAGGTAACGCACAGTGTCCAAGAAACCACACAAAGCATTTTAAGTCGATAAGAAAGTGGTTGTAAGTGAACAAGTCTTCTTACGTCTCTTACTATTTTAATTCATTATCCATTTCAAATATGCGCCACTGGCCTGATATGATGCATAATAGGGAAGTTTGAAGGTTGCTGGCCTTTGTAGGTCTTACAGCTTTAAAGGCGCTCAATATTCAAATGGAAAAAGTTTTTGAGTACGCCCTGGCGTGGCCATAAAACGAAAGCGGCTTTAAACTTACTGTCCAGGTGTTACACTCCCGCCCAAGACAGGCCGAAGGGACGCGCAGGGACAAAATTAACAAACAGCAAATGCCGCACTAAAATGTGGGGAAATGGCCGAGGGCCTAAGTAAAGAGTAGGCAACAGAAATCAGCACAAGGCACGGACAAGTTTGTATGCATAAATAGCAGACGACACAAACATGGCTATGGCAAAGGACTAACCCAAGCGCTGTGTGCATGTGTGTGTATGTGTGTCCTTTGTACTGGACTCATGTCCTTATTGTGTGTGTGTTTTGTGTTGTTGTACTCGTCGCTGCGTACTGAGCGCACTTGGCCCAACAACAACAGCAGCAGCAGAGGCAACTACAAGTTATGGTTATTAATTTTGCGTATGCAAGAGGCAGTCAGGCGAGCGACAAGCCTTCCAGGAAGGACGAACTTAAGCTGCATGCGAGCGGACAAGCGGCCGACAGAGCGGGTCCTGAGTGTGTGGCATGAAATCCGCTTGGGCAAAGTGTTGGTGTTGGTCACAGGATTTAGTACGAAAAGCAACAGAAGACAAGGCAGGAAGTGTGTGATTTATGAGTGTGTGTATGTCAGCTACAATATTTTAGCTGTTGCTACAAGCATCAAGCAACACTTCAAGTCCTTTCCGGCACAGCCCTGAACCATTTATGCTAAATTATTTTATCAAGCGCAAGGTCCAACAAGCACATGTACACGTCATATTGGTCAAAAAAAGAGGACGGATTTATAATCAACAGACATTTTGGCAAGGAGACGACTTAAATCAAAGGCACTCACCGTTAGATTGTTGTCCGCCAAGTCCAAGTGCTTCAGCGATATAAGTCCTTCAAAGGCGCTCAAGTCCAGCTCGGACATTACATTGCCGCGCATGCTCAGCGCCAACAGCTCCTTAAGACCCTCAAAGCTGTCGTTGCGCACAAACTCCACCAGGTTGTCAGACATGTCGAGGCTCTTGAGCGCATGCAGATGCCACAGATTGCTCGCGGGCACATCGAGCAGTCGGTTGTTGCGAAACACGAGCACCTCCAGCGTCAACATGCCCTTAAAGCAGTTGTCCTCCAAACTGACAATATTATTGTTGGTCAGATCGAGCTCGACTAGCGCTGCCAAGTCGCCCAGGGCAGTGGGGTGCACGGTCTCGATGCGGTTATAGCTAAGATCCAGTAGTTGCAGATTACTAAGGCCCTTAAAGGCGTGCTTGTGTAGAGCACTGACCATGTTACGGCTCAGGTTAAGCGTCCGTAACTCGGTCTGGTACTCGAAGTTCTTAGAGCCCAGCGTCTCTATGATGTTCTGCGACAAGTCTAGCACCTCCAGCTTCATATAGAAGGGCAACGTAAACTCGAGATTACGTATGCGATTTAGTGTTAGATTTATGTACTTGGTCTCCGGATTCAGCTGTATGGGCACATCCTCTAGGGCCGCGTCCACGCACAGCGCCCGGCTGTTGGCATCGCCGCCGAGGCATTGGCATTTCGAGGGGCAGAAGGCGATGGTCCCAGAAGGCAGCAGCAGCACCAAATGGAACAGTAGGAGGAGTCGGCTCGGCAGTCTGCAAGAGGGCCTTGTATTTGGCCATTTCTGTGTGTGCATGTTGTTGCTGTTGTGCCTGTATTCTGTGCTGGCCATTTCTGCAAGTTGTTTATTGCCGTGGTAGCTTGTTTATTTCGTTCGTATTTGGCTTACGCTGCGTGGCTATCACCAATTGATGGCCGTCATAGCTGACAGTAGCTGTAAATATAAACAACATGATACTTGAATATTAGGTGGTTGAAATTGGATTTGTTGTCTGTGCAGTTAAAAATTAAAGCCTCAGTATCATGCCCTATAACAAATGAACTACCTGTCCGTTTTATGAATATGTACTAGTATACTATAGTATAGTTGGCAAAGCACGAGCAACGTCTCTGGCAGTTCATAGTCAAAACTATTACCCTGCATTATGCAAAACTTTTGGACGTCGCATTAGCACCGCACAACTTTGACACTCGAAAGAAAAAGAATCTTAGCCATAAAACGCATGCACAGCTCGAGGCCGCCGTCTAGAAAGTCGGCGGGCAACTTTCCATGCAAGTTGTCAGCACTTTTTAGCCGCCGTGCCTTTGCGGGATCGTCTTTGCTGCGCAATGCGTCTCGAGTCTATGAAATATTAGTGAGTTAACTTATGCGCATAAATCTTGGGAGCGTTGAGTATATATTAAATAAATGCCGGTGGAAAAAGTTTTATGAATTACGCTCCACAAAAAAATACTTATTCAAAAATGTTCTAAGGTGTGCAAAGGCAGTCAAAGCTCATTTCATAGGCCGCAGCATTCATTTATGCGACTCAGGCTTAAATGGCCTAATTTGCGCTGCAATTTACTGAAGCGTCGACGACCTTTGACTTTGACAAAATGCCAAGCCCGTTCGCATTGCCATTTCCAACAACGGACTGCAAATTCACAAAATAAAAACGTTGAGCAGCGGAACATTCTTATGCATTCGTGTTAGGTGTGTCTATAGCCACTTGAGCAATTATTTAATGCATTTAGCTGATGAACTTGAAGCTCAAGGAGTAGGTTGCGAGGTTATTTATTTTGGTTTGACTCGTCAGCTAATATTATTTGGTCTGTCACAAGGATTTCGGATATTATACGAGGAAAAATAGCTTGGTGTACAAGTTGTCTGAAGCAGTACAAGCTTTTGCTTATCTCGATTCTTAAGCATATTCTCTGACAATGGCCTTTGATTCAACATTAATTATTCTTTTTTTTTATTTTTGTATATTTAGATGTTTTTGGTTTCTTCTTACTGATGGATAAAAGCTATATAATAACAAGTATTTTTACCATAAGGGAGTTGCAATTGCCCCAAAAAGTTGTACAATATTTTGCTAGCTCCAAAGCTATAAAATTATATGGTTTTAAAAATAAAACAAATTCAAACAAATTCATATCAAATTTTATGTTTGTCTAATGCGGCAAAATTCCATTGGCGCACGTTTTAAACATACACTTTTTCCTTATAAGGCAGGCCAATTAACTAGCTATGATTCTTTTCTATTTCTTGACGAATTAAACAAACTTAATGTTTGAAATATAAATTCCTTTGTGGCTGGCTGCGGTAAAGTTAACAGTTCATCAAATGAACTTACAAAAGTGTTGTATACTTTTAGGCATGTAAGTAATTTTCATTGTCCGACACGTATGGTCACAAATAGCTATATTTTCTCAGTGGATTATTCACACGCCGGCATTAAGCTATGCATTTATTTAAATTAAATATTTGCCCGCCGGAATCACTCAATTAGGCAATTAACAAATTACTTGCAAGTCTTTTTGTGTGGAGCTTCGCCTCCATGCTGCACAGTCCTCCGTCGCCTGATAAGCGTTATGGCTGGCTTTGTTTGTCTGTCTCTAAACTGTGATTTGCATACAGAAGTGCAAATACACGCCACAAACACATACGGTCATAAGCGCATGGCCTTGTGGTGGTGAACAATGGCAAGATCTCACACACGCATATACACACGAGTGTACCATAGGCGGGCGGACAATTCGAACAATAGTCTTAACTAGCTGTAAAACAAATAATAAAACAGTAACGCAAACTTTCGAGGTTTCATAATGTCAACAAAAGCTTAAAGCAAACATAACAAACAAACATACACACACGTACGCACACCGTGAAACTTTTTAGGCCGGATTGCAGGTCGGTGAAGTCTTGGCTCATATTTTTCGCTTCAATAAAATTTGTGGAAAATAAGGACCCAGCCAACGAACCAAGTGCCTGCCACAACCCGCCCTCCTAGCTGCCTTTTCCATGGCAGCAAAAAGCGAAAATTGTGAAAAATTCACTCCCGTGTGAATTATTAAGTTTCACATGGCAGTTTTTGTTTTTCCACCATTTTTTCTGTTTGTATAGAGAGGTACTATATAAGTAAGTATGTGCCGTCACGTCTGTGTGTATTTCTGTACAAGTGTGAGTGCGGGTTTGTTTGTTTGCGGCGGCGCTTTTTGCACATGTACGTAAACGAGTGTGTGTGTGTATTTGTTTGAAAAAAAAGCAAAAGCACACAAAGTTTTTAATAAACTTTCGCACGCCAGCTCACCAACGCAACTTTGCTTTCAAAATGTTTGTCGGTGCTTGGGGGAAGGCCGTGTGGAGGAGTGGCATAGAGGGGGGCATGGCATACAAATATGATTTCATTGTGGCAAATATTTTGATAACTCATGAACCGGGCGCCTGCTCTGAGTCCTGAGTGAGCCTACATCGGGCAAAAGGCAAAGGGCGTGCCATCAAAGGCGAACAAGTTGAAAGTTGTAGCACTTTTGTTGCGCACTTCGTGGAGCAGTTTCAAAGGGCAGCTGGGGTTAAAGTGGGAGCTATCAAAAGTGGCTGCAGTTGGTTTAATAGGCTTGTTAAATATGGCAACATACTTACATATAAAATTGTAAGTGCCTCTAGTTATTGTAATTGAATAACGAACGCGAATTGGAGCTTGGCATTAAGGCTAATAAAGCTTATACCAGAAATTGGCGCCATTGCCTTTTTGTGCTTTTTTTTTGCTTTTTTGAATAAAAAATTTTGATTTCTCAGTTTGATACAAATTAACACTTATTACTGCATTACATGAACTGAAAAAAAGTACGCGAAAGCTAACAAATGATTTAAACTGCACAGTCAAATGTTGTCCTTAAAATAAAGTCTAATACAGACTGATTGCTGACTAACAAAATAAACTGCTCTGTCAACTGCAAAGTGCTGACAATTGCATTAATTATGGTTCTGCCTATATGCGTCTATGTATTTTGCCAAATTGGCGCGGCCAGAATTGTCTGTGCACTCTGCACTGCATTCGGTACTGGGGACAGCACTTAAAAGTTTCGAAGGCACTCAATTAAACGGCAGGCGCTTAGACAGAGGACCGAACGGCGCAGACAATAACAACAGCAACAACGGAAATTCGTCTTTTGTGGCAAAATTATTAGACGAATTCACGGTGGCAAGCACAGTGGTTCCAACTACCAATTTGGCGTAGGAATGTCTGAGGGAACGAGACATGTTTCTTTAGCAAAACAAAAAGCAATACTACTTATATACCTGATTTCAATCCAAAACGTACTATTAGGTCAACATGTCGGACATGTCTAAGAACTTCAACTATATATAAAAGCCTTTAATTCCGATTCCAATTCGACAACCCTTCCTTAATGTGAGTTCACAGAGTCATCGTGAGATTGTTCACGGCCAAGTTATATAATCAATTGGAGCTAGATAAAAAATGAAGTTTCTCATCTGTGATAATAGTAAAGATTTTATTGCTACCTTGTGCAAGCATATATTAAGTGCTTAACTATATAATTATCAATGTTGTGTATATCGTAGTGCTTTCTTTGTATTTAATAGGTCTATTGCTCATTATAAGATCTACTTGAAGAAATATATTAAGAATGATCCCACTTTAGTTCTTAGCCGATATTTAATTTGTAATTCTATATCTCCTGGTATTTTCAAAGCCAATATGCACAAATTGTAGGCCACACGGTGCGTCGTCGAGAAGGTGCAGAAATGAGAGACAACATTTAGGAACGTGTTGCACTTCAAAGGAGGGTGCGTCGTCGGTCGGTGTATTGTCTTTCGAGTGGGCAATACGCAAAAAGCGTCAGTGAATTTTCCCAGAGACGATGCGCTCGGGACGGCTCTTCTGTTTGCCTATCCAATAACGAAATGGAAATGTTAATCTTGATAAAAATAAACGCACTCGGTCACGTTGAGTTGCAAAAGTTGGCGCGTCGCACGTTTTTCGTCGCATTTTCAATTTGTTTGGCATTTGCCTGGCCATTGTCAACCGCCAGACACATTCCCGACCCCTTCCCATGCTCTGCAGCCCGAGAGCTGCCTCTAAGTGAATATTAATATTGACTTTTTGCTGTTGCTCGCATAGTAGTTGGAAAAAGTTTTCACCTTTGATTGCTGCTTCCTTTTAAAAAGCACCCGACCCGAGCCGAGCCGAACTGAGCTGAGGTGACCTGACCTCTCGCTCCCTGCGACGGTGCAAGCCATTTGTGGCCTTAAAGTCAACGTTGTTGTTTGCGTTGTCGTTCCCATTGTGCCACTGCCCCTTAACCCCTCATACCACCACCGTGCCTCTCGACGTTGGCTGTTTTAAATTTATGTGCAAACTTTTTGCGTGCAAATGTGGGCGGCTCTTATGGCAAGAACGGCAGCGGCAGCAGCAGCAGCAGCGTCGCAGCTATTTCTATTATCAGCGTTTGATTTTCACGCTGCTGCCCTTGACTGCGACTTCGACTGTGACTTCGAGACATCGAGCTCGTCTTTGGCTTTTCCTATTATTTTCAATTTTTATGGCATTTAGCCCGGTGCGGTAGCTGCGCTTGTTAGCGTCTGCTTTGGAACATGAGCTTTTAGATGGGAGCTAAGCACGTTCCCTCCCTATTCTCCTTTCCCTCCCACCTGCTCTTCACAAGAGTCTGACAATTTCAGGTGTCTGCAAATCGCAAGATGAACTTGATTTTACTCTGGAGGAGTCGTCGTTGCCCCCACGTGGGAGGTTCCACAATTTTGTGACTAAGGTGAAATTGTCTTTTGTGTATGGCAAGCAAAATTTCGATATAATTAAATGGAGC